TTTGCCGTATCCTAACAAGCCATTCTATGTACTTTGTTGTCCAAATTTCCCTAATCTTCATACTTTTTAAGACCAAAACCTGATTGCTAATCTTTTTGAAATGGACTATGGTACAAAATACAAACAAAACAAAATTATCTGAGGGGAGCGAAAATAAATAAATCGAAGAAAAGAAGAGAGAAGAGAGCTAGAACGGAATTTAATTCTAATTATTTAGAGCTGGACAGATATTGTCAAGGAGACATGCAGATACACAATAGAATCGTCTCGACTGCATGTAGAGTAGCTACCTCTAACTGCAGCAGAGTGGAGCACGTAGCGACGTGATCAACTTGGGAACAGTGAAAGGTGGGAGAAACTAAATACAAATAAATTCGAACGCGCAAATACAATATTTGTGAAGTCATGTGCAAAGTGTCTGTAACGAGAAACTAAATACAAATAAATTCGAACGCGCAAATACAATATTTGTGAAGTCATGTGAAAAGTGTCTGTAACAGTTGGCGAGCTGATGTTGGTATACTGGGAGCTTACATGGGCATGGAAAGACGAATCCCCCACTCGTCCAGTCGGGTTAGGCATTGGTGAATATTCCCGGCGTAACCTGTCAACAGACCAGGAGTCACAGTTTTGCGAGGAAGTGGACATGTGGATCCTCAATGGATGGTTGGTACCCCATGACCAAGCAGTCCATGGTGAGCCTGGTGCTGTGTTGCCCTTGTTGGCTGTGGCCCAGACGCACAAGGAGTCCACCCCTGTCCACCCGTGTTTGGACTACCGGCAACTCAACAAGTTGATTGTGTCGCATCCAGGTTTGGACGTGCCTGTTTGCCAAGAGAAGTTGCGTCAGTGGAGGTCTATTGGCAACGCCGACAGCCACGTGTTGCTGGACATCAGCAAGGCTTACCTCAGCATCCGCGTCGCACCAGCTCACCAAGTTCCAAATGGTCGTCTGGAAGGGCCAGCTGTTCGCAATGGAGAGGATGGGCTTCGGCCTATCGATTGCGCCCAACTTCATGGATATAATCGTCAAGTGGGTCCTCCGTGCTTCTGCTGATGTGGACAACTATGTCGACGATGTGTATGTTCCGAAGCCTCGTCGGCGTGCTGTCACCGATTAGTTGTCGCAGTACGGGTTGCCTACCAAGCCAGCGGAGCCAGTCGTCTCTGCTAGGGTACTCGGTCTGCAGCTGTCAGAGTCTGCAGATTGCCAAGTGAGGTGGAAGCGTCGTGGTGACGTCATGTCGACCTGTCAGCCCGATGCCATCACACAAGTGGTGTGGCAAGCTGACCAGCCACTATCTCGTCGGCTCCTGGCTGTGCCCAGCGTGCAGTTATCTGAAGCGTCTGTCTAGCCTTCAGCCTGGATGGGACGGTCCAGTGTCTCATGAAGTCGTCGCTTGTTGTGCAGAAGTCATTCTCCGGCTGCAGACCGATGACCCTGTACAAGGTGTGTGCTCAGTTCCTGAAGACGCACAGTGGTCGTTGTGGTGTGATGCTTTGGACATCGCACATGGTGCTGTCATTCAGGCCGATGGTGTGATTGTCGAGGATGGCTGCTGGCTGTCAGGGTCCAGTGGATCAGCAGTCAGCAGAACAAGGCGGATCATTTGATCCGTGTTCCCAGCAGCTGGATGCGATGTGGCAAGACGCTCCTTGCTCCGACTGCACCGTCCGTCACCGCTGCGGTGGTGACCGTCGGTCCATTCTTATTGGACAGAGTATCTGCTGCTCAGAATGCAGATCCTCGGATTGCTTCGACTCGCCAGCAAGTCATCGATGGTGACCCAGTTACTGATCCTGCATTTGTCAAGGTCAAGTCACAGCTTGTAGTCCATGATGGTATGCTGTGTCGAGTGTGAAGTTGCCGCCCAACGATGCAGTCGTCATTCCTGTTATTCCTAGTTCACTCGAGTCCGATGTCGTTCGTGCTGCTCATGTGAACTGTGGTCATGCGTCTTGGGAGGGTACATGGCGCTTCCTCCGCTCGAAGTGCTATTTCCCGAATATGGCTGCCCAATGTCAGCAGTTTGTGCGCCACTGTCCGCTGTGTGCTGCTACCATCCCAACCAAGGGCGTCTCGGCGGAGGCCAGTCGCCCTGTGGAGGCTGACGGCCCATGGAGTGTTGTGGTAATAGATACTCTGGAACTGGGCGTCGATCAGAGTGGAGAGTACCATTGTGTTCTCGTCTGCATGGATACTTTCACCAAGTGGGTGTAGGTGGTTCCGCTCCGTCAGCATGATGCGGCATCAGTGGCCGAGGCATTTGTCAGCCTGTGTACGCGGTTGGGCCGTGATGTCATCGCTGTTTGATGTGACAGTGCTCAACGGTGCCGTGCGTCATCCCCAATCGCAGGGATCTGCGATTTAACCGCACTCTCCTCACCTTAACTCGGAAGGTGTCGGATGAGGCTGATGATTGGCGATCTGAACTGGACGTGTTACTGTACTTCTACCGCATTCGTCCTCACTCTGTCCTCAAGATTTCTCCTATGCGTACGATGCTTTGCTGGGAGTACACCGGTGTGCTCTTCTCGGCTACTCCTGGGCTAGGCCTGACTCCATCATTATTCTCATCTTGAGCGCCAGGCTGCCTGGATCCGTGATTTTGTGGAAGCTGAGCTGTCCTCCAAGAACTTTGTTGATTCTGAAGCTGATAACTGTCTGTTCGCCGTTGGTGATCTCGTTCTTCTACGTCGTTGCCATCGTCACCAGAAATGTGAGGTGCCATATGAGCGTGAGTGGGTAGTAGATCACATTGTGTCCCCCTCTACTGTGGTAATTCGCAATGAGGCTGCTGGTGGTGATAAAGTGGTGAATGTTGAACTGCTGAAGCCTGATGTTGGTGCTGAGGTGTTTACTGATGTGCCTGCTGCAGATGCTGTTGCTGATGTGCCTGCTGCAGATGCTGTTGCTGATGTGCCTGCTGCAGATGATGTTGCTGATGTGCCTGCTGCAGATGATGTTGCTGATGTGCCTGCTGCAGATGCTGTTGCTGATGTGCCTGCTGCAGATGCTGTTGCTGATGTGCCTGCTGCAGATGCTGTTGCCGATGTGCCTGCTGCAGATGCTGTTGCTGATGTGCCTGCTGCAGATGCTGTTGCTGATGTGCCTGCTGCAGATGCTGTTGCTGATGTGCCTCCTGCAGATGCTGTTGTTGATGTGCCTGCTGCAGATGCTGTTGCTGATGTGCCTGCTGTTATTGATGTGCCAGCTGCGGGTACTGTCCCTGATGCTGGGTCTCGGTCTGATCCACGAGATCCTAATTATGTGCCGCTTCTAGCCCCTGCCGATGATCCTTCTCCGTATCAGTTTCGCCCATATGGCCTTCGTCAGCGTGGTTCGCTTGCACCCCCTCAGCGATTCCGTTAGTTTTGCTTTGTTGCGCTATTTGGTATTTTGTTTGGCATACCACCAGGGGGAGAGGTGAAGTAGAGTAACCCTCTTCTATACAAGACATGTATTTCTATGTATGTCAAAACTGAAAACAGGCTTATGTGTCATTTGATGGGCCCAAAATTACGGCTTCTATTCGAGGGCGGCTTCTATTCAAGTGCGCCCTTTAATACAAAACTTTACGGTATTTAAATTTCAGTATCCATAGAGTTTGGGGTGCTAGTCCCACATGTCTCCGACAAAGCATTCTTGAGATATTTCCGTTTGAAAAATTGAGTTTCGGGTGCGGCACCATGACATCATGCGGCCCCGACATTCGATACACCCCCTCTGCAACGTCATAGAGTGGAGCTAAGTCAAAAGAAGTGCGTGAAAGCCATAGTGGCAATGCTATTTCAAATGATTTGGCGACCGATAGTAGGTGGTGCAAGCGACCCTGACTACGTAACTCCATGTGAGAGTGAGGATGCAGCCATGGCCGACCTTCATGAGTTCTGCAAGGGGCTGAGAATTTCAGTATTCTGCAGAATAAATGGCCGCGCGGGCCGGTCAAGAGTGAGAACTGCCACGTTTGCGATTGATGAAGCTTCAGCTATTGCAGATGGGGCTGATATAATCTCAGATCTCTGGAGAGCAGAGTCGTCAAAATGTAGAAGAGTAATGCGAGGGCTCTGATTGGTGTTCAATGCTGACTCGCTTGGACTCCAGTGGCCTGCCGCATAGCGATTTTTGGTGCAAACTAGCACTTAGCGTATTTCAGACGGTGCTCGATTGACGAACAGTGCAGGCTTTTTGAACCACTGGCATGACTTTTCGATTCAAGGCTCACAACATTACAGGATCTGAAAGCTTTAGGACCGGGAACTGTCCGTTGTTTTGTCACTTGTCACGGCTGTGGACTCATCGTTGTAGCATAAATGAGGCTGGACTATTCCATGCGGAACACATCAAGATTTGTCGAGCTGAAAATTGCAGGGAACGTAGTGTTTGTAACGCCGAGTCGAATGGTCTTGGTCGGAAGAATCTGCGACAAACGGGTCCCCAATCGAACGCGTTGCGAACCTTTTGTACACATATAGGTGGTGCGGCTTTCTTGCCAAGTACCTCAATGGCAGTCTCCACCATGACCCTGTTGAACCTGACAGTATGGTACAAGGCATTCACAATTGCTTGAAATGTGGCCTTCTGCTGCACTGCTCCTGCAGCTGAGGTCGGCATCTTCGTCAGAGATTAAAGCAGACACACTCCCAGTACCACTTTACAAAAGGCTGAAGAAGACTCGTTCAATTCAGGATATTATTTTCTTTTTCAAGCGATCCAAGTTTCCAGGTAGCAGGTGATCGTGGCTACCTATCAACTTGAAATACACCGTTACGTCTTTCCTTTCTCACCATGACGATAATTGTATGGGTTAGGGAAGACATTGGAATCGGGGCAGACATTGGTATCAAGGAAATGCTGAAAACACTAGTGCAAGGGTAGGGTTCCCTGCTTCGAGTCCTGGCGATGCCAGTGAGCTCTTTGAAGCTTTGTATTATGACGTTGTCATGATTGTTGTGGTTTTCTTTCTTCGTTCTTTGTATTAATTTTGTCATATGGCCAGAATTGCTCTCAAGTGTTGATATTGAGCAACCGGAATCCGTCAAGGTCACAGCTGTCAGAGCAGACCCACCTGTAACCATGCCAACTAGGGAAGAAACAACAGCAGCAGCTGCGTCAGCAGGATTTGCAGTGTATCCATCCAACCGGACTGCAACAAAACCATTGCCACTTGGACAGCAATTAGCACCGCTGTCTCCACCAATGAAAAGTAGAACTGCAGCAGCAAGAGGAGGGCCTGGAGGAGGAAAAGCAGTAGTAGTAGCAGCAACACCAGCCGTAGCAGCAACACCAGCAGTAGCAGCACCAGCAGTAGCAGCACCAGCAGTAGCAGCAACACCATCAGTAGCAGCACCAGCAGTAGCAGCACCAGCAGTAGCAGCAACACCAGCAGTAGCCGCAACACCAGCAGTAGCAGATTCAGCAGTAGCAGCAACACCAGTAGTAGCAGCAACACCAGCAGTAGCAGCACCAGCAGTAGCAGCACCAGCAGTAGCAGCACCAGCAGTAGCAGCAACACAACCAGTAGTAGCACCAGCAGTAGCAGCACCAGCAGTAGCAGCAACACCAGCAGTAGCAGCACCAGCAGTAGCATCACCAGCAATAGCAGCACCAGCAGCAGCAGCAACACCAGCAGTAGCAGCACCAGCAGTAGCAGCACAAGCAGTAGCAGCACCAGCAGTAGCAGCACCAGCAGTAGCAGCACCAGCAGCAGCAGCAACACCAGCAGTAGCAGCAACACCAGCAGTAGCAGCACCAGCAGTAGCAGCACCAGCAGTAGCAGCACCAGCAGTAGCAGCACAAGCAGTAGCGGCACCAGCAGTAGCAGCATCAGCAGTAGCAGCACCAGCAGTAGCAGCAACAGCAGTAGCAGCACCAGCAGTAGCTGCACCAGCAGCACCAGCACCAGCAGCAGTTGCAGCAGCAGCAACAGCAGCAGTAGCACCAATATCAGCAACAGCATCATGGGCACCTCGAGCAACAGCAAAGCTGGAACCAGGAACAACCGAAACCAAATCAACTATGCCAGCACTTCGTACTTATTCAGGTGAGTTTTGCCTGGTTGACATTCGAAGGGGTGCCTCGTGATGAGTTAGGTTCGCTATTGCAATAGCTGCTGCATGTCATACTGTACGAATAGTAAGACCGTCTACAGGTCACCCCAGCCAACCGTACAGGTTCCTTCGTCCCGTTTCATCAGCTTTATGGTGAATGAGAAATAGACTTGAATGATTTCCCAATTAGTATACACTGAGGCGTCATGGCACCAGCCATTCATCATGGCAGCATTCTTAATCAATGGATTTTGATGTATGAGTGTTTGCACGCTCATGCAGCTGCATGCACCCTGAAATCACATTTTCCTTTTGTGGATGCGGTTTCTCCTCTTCTTGCCCCGCCCTTCTTTCCGTTCGCTTATATATTCAACCTCCTCCTCATATACACTGGCGTAGAGCGCCTAATTGTAGAGAGGGGCGGCCCGATTAAACCATCAGCGCAACATCACGTGGTTGAACCCTCCGTTCAGCAAAAACGTACCACAAATTTGACGGGAAAATTCCTATGTCTCATTGATAAACACTTCCCGAAAGGCTCACCACTGAACAAAGTAATTAACAGCACGGCTGTCAAGAAGCGGCAACTAAGAAAGATGGTGTCGGTTCGAGATGGCATGGTAACCGCGCACGTGCCGTGGTCCGTAACTTGCTCATGTATGCACGCAACTGCAAGTCACAAACTCACGAAGATCGTCTTTGCATTTGGAGAAAATATCTTCAACTCTTGTTGGAGGTTGGCGAGGTTTGCCTAGTCTTTACTTGATTACGATGCCGGTATGTCCTCTCAATAATCAGAACAAAGAGAGCTGATGATCGCTTCATTGCTGAGCAGAAGTAACAATCAACTCTCCTCAGGTCCTCAGTGCTAAAGGCAGATGACTGCAATTCCACAACGCTCATTTCACGATGATGGAAACAATAATCGTGTACACACTTGGACCATTCGGTCGTCCCTATTCTAGCCGCTAGTCCGCCCAGCAAGCAGATGTTGACTATTCCGATAAGGACAACTGCGGGAACAAATACAATTCAAGTCGTGACTCCAGTCAAGAATTAGGGTCTTACTCGAGAACTTCACAAATACAGGCCTAGGCACCCCACAAAACTGATGGATGCATCGATGGCACGAATGAAAGACAAATAGGCTAGACGCAGTGTGCCAAGTGATTGAAAACAGCAGATCTACCAAATAAGACAGCTACAGGTGCCTAAACAACGATTCCAATACAGTAGAGAGTAGTATCAGGCAGAATGAAAGCCTTTAAGTCCACAAATACAGTCATGACCGCCACAAAAATTGGACGACCGCCACAACAAAATTCTCATTGCTCTACCTCTTTGAAGGGGGAAAGTTACCAGTTATCCTATAACGATGTCAGTTTATGCCTGTTGGAACCCCCCACAGCCCGCACGAAATACCTTTCAAATAATTCCAGGATGCAATTGCAGCTCCACACAGGAGGAAGAAGAACACCGTGGAAAATAACGTCAATGATGCCCAAACTCTCAGGAAACGGCTGAAGTCTTTCTGAAGATGTTAACACTTTTCCAAATGCGGCTAATCCATTCGCCCTTATATCATTTGGCCTAGTTCCCGTTTATTGTGCGAATTAAAATAAACCAACCAACCAACTGTCGTCTTTTGCACGCTCTTCCCTGCGGAATCTGTTTGTAGCCTCTCGTATCTGTTGTTGGATTGTACGAGCTTCAGTCATCAACTCATCGATATCTCCAGTATCCCAGCTCGACAGTCTGTGTTGGAGGCAATCAGCATGCTCTCGGCTGTCTACCATACGATATGGATGTTGAAGCAGTACCTGTGTAGCCACCATCGCTACCTTGATGGACACACCCTCGCCTGCCGCTGCATCACCAAAGCACTGATATAGACGAGCAATGATGTTAACATACTTCTCACCAGTTGCGCCCGATGGGTCACTAAACAGATTCGGGCGGAAGTGAACTGCTTCAGCATACGCTGCGTTGATCACCTGGCGGAATGGATCGAGATCAAAATTCCCGATACGTAGGTCACACTCTGCATTCTGGTAAAGTGGCAAAGGAAAGCGGGGTTCTTCCCTGGGCTCATCGTCCGCCAGTGTCACTAGGAGAGCTACTTGGCTGTCCGTGATTGTGTCGTGGGTTACCTGATCCTGTATGTGAGGGAGCTCAGCCGAGTCAGCACTGGAGTTAGCAGGGTCTTGTACGGGGTGCTGTGCCCCGCTAAAGTAGATCTCCCTGAGAGGCTGGCTTGAGTCGACGGTTGGACAGCAGGCGGCGGTGAGTTACTATCCTCCGCTGTCGGTCTAGTAGCTGGTTCGAACACTGGTATGGCACGGGTCACTGACGCTGTGGACAGTGGTTGTTGAGATGACGGTTGAGACGGTTTAGATGTCGGGTCGGGTGAGCTGTTGTTTCGGCATCAATTTTTCTTGGAGGGGAGACAATTTCTGCATCCTCGACCCCCTTGTGGCATTCACACCGGAAGCCGGTGCCGCTGTCATTGCACGGGCGGCAAGTGGCACTCTGCATCAGCTGGTTTGCCAGCCTATGCCGGAGCCGTGCTGGAGCCAGAAAATCCACCGAAAAACTACAGCTACAAAAACACGTGCCTACCTTGACATCACAAAAGCGCATGAATTCGCCAGTTTGCACTCCACTTATGGAAAGTTGTCTACGGAGAGTACGTAGATCTGATAACGTAGCTGGTTCGTAAGTGGATTGGGGTAAGGATTTATGACTCTCTCCGCAGGTCGATCTGGTCGTACACTGCCGCGTTCGGACTTCGGAGTTGCCAAGGGCATCTTCGTGATTGGAAAACTCCGTATATATATGACGGAACCCGGCCAGATGTGCATGCAGTTTACGTAACACTTTCCGTAGATCGACTACGTTATTTACTAACGTAATTACGTTTTGCGGAACCTCTCTATTGTCGACCCATCGCTAGTGGGGTTGTCCACGAGTCATACCAGAAGTAAAGTAAACCAAGACAGATTTGAAAACGTCTTATGAAAGGTCCGTGTTATATATCCACCGACCTTTTCCTGTAATAAGACGACACCGCCGGTACGGTTCCCCTCTTGAATAATAGCCCCCATACAGGGACTGTTTGAAAAAAAACATAAAACTCATCTCGAATAGAAGCCCGGACTACTATTTGCAAAGCATGGGGTGACCAGGTACTGCCATGTATGAAGGTTGAATGCGCAAAAAGCATCTTGTGTATGTTCCTATTGGTACATGACCTAGTCGACGTAGTCTGCGCATACTAACTCGGGGCCGAGTTACTGTGAATATGAAAGTTTTAGAGATTCGATTGGAATACTTGTGTAGAATTATACAACAAATGCCTCTCTGGAATAGAAGCCCTCTCAAAATTCGCATTGATAAAATAGAAGCCCGGGCTTCTAATCGAGTGAGTAGGGTATGTAAAGATTTTCTTCCTTTTTTGTCTTTTTGGTGCGTTACCAGCATGGCGATACTGAGACCTATTGGTCAGTCGAGTGCCTGCAGCCTCACCAGCACTGCTACTATCTGTGACTGTGGCGATCACCATTCAATGTTGTAGTATCCCTGCCTTGCTTGATTGTAGCGTATCCCCGTGTTAGCGTATCCTCGTACGTTAGCGTATCCCCGTACGTTAGCGTATGTGGTATGTTGCCTATAAAAGCGGCTGCGCATTTCTCTTTCCATATATTACTTTTTATTACATAATAATGCAGGTGTGTACCTGAGGAAGAATGAAAAGTTACTTAGAGTTAAGCACCGTGCCTCCACTCGGCTACCTATTACATTGGTGGCAGCGGTGGTTAAAGTTAACTTTGTCAGATTCTACCCTACCTGTTTACATTGGTAACAATGGCGCTACAACATTGGTGGCGCACATAGCATAGCATTGCGGCAGTAAGAAGACTCAACCTACCGACCGTCCTTCAAGATGCGTGATCCGCGCCAATGGCTGCGCGATTTCTGCGGATTACTTCTGGCGGCAGCATTCTCCTTTGGACTTCTTATTGTTGATGTGGAGAAGGGAGACTTGAATGCTTTGTGGATCGACCTGGACTCGCGTGTTGTTGACGAGAGGAAAGGTTTCGAGGATGAGTTTGGTGGACTTACGAGAAAGACAACGTGTGCTGTGTCCGTGGCAACATCGGGCGACAGTCTGTTTCCTGGTAGTAATGATACAAGCGCTAGCACGGCCCGCAACTCGACGCCCAGTGAGCGGTAAATTATTTTCTAGTTACGTACGACAAGTATGGCCCAACCTGCTGCACAAGCCGTCGCTCCTCCAACGCCTGCCAGCCACGTCCATTAATAGCCAGAAATGATCACAGACAGCGCCTTTACCGTCTCTACCGTCTCTACAGCTCCATGCCCAACGTAAGCTAATTCCCGATATGGCATTTTCTTTCCTGTCTTCCTATTCTCTTCAGTCTTTCTCTACCCGATTGAGTGAATCCAGTTTAGTTCGGTAGGCGTCCGATCATGGTGAGCCACGGTCTAACTAACTAACCTGGGACAAAGTGTGTGAGAATCCCCTTTTATACACTTCAGGTGTGTACCGGAGTAAGTTCCCACAATGCACTTCGTTTTTTGAATCCCGTGAGTTTTCCTGGCAGTTTGAGCCAGCGATGTGCAGCAATTTGGCTGGTCTTTCACGTCCTGTTTGGAAGACCATTCTTTCCCTTTTTTGACCCCGAGAGATCGTGTGAACCTGGTGTGCTTTTACTTCTATGTTATGATTTGTTATCAGTTCAGCTGATGTAATATAGCGCAAGGCAGAGCCGCAGCAAATAGCTAGATAACACCAATTGTGAGAGTGGACCCATGAAACCAGCACTCCGTTAGCTAAGCACTATTGAGGCACAGCAAGGGTCAATTAATTTCAGCACAGGCAAGCATTGCGCAGCTAGAGTTCAGTAGCTCATTACTCACCCCAGTCGGGGATCATGGCATCCATGACACGGCAGCAAGCCGGGACGATAGCTGGCGCTTAGCGCTTGTTGTAGTCCGGATGTAGCATAGACA